ATTCTATCCTAAGTATATATATATATATATATAGTGACTTTTAAAAAAATTTATATTTTACGTATTTCATATCTCTCATTTTTAATAATATTTCTAATTAAAATTTTTCAAACCATCCCTCGAAATTTTTTTGTTCATTATAATGTTTTAATATGTTATAATGCTGTAAAATTTATTTAAAAACACTAAAAAATAATCTGAATGGACTAAAAAACGCCAAAAAAAAATAATATTATAATAATATATGAGAAATGACATATGCACGATAAGATATTATTTATAATATTTTCAATAATATTTAATATATTAATATAAATATTATAAACGTTATTAAAAATATATAAACAAGTCAAATGAAAAAAATATTATACCATTTGAAAACTGATAAAAAAAACTAACGAAAAATTTTGATGAAAAAACTTTTAATGAATATTTTGGATATTTTAAAATTAAATATATTATTTAAAAAACATAAAAGAAGGGTATCTTTTAAAAATATCTAGAATATAAATATTTTCTAAAAAAATCGTGTGTGTGTGTGTGTATATATATTGAAAGTGAGAAATAGTGCTCTTATAAAGCTCTTATTGCTCTAAAATATAAATATTTTCTGATATTATATTTTCCTTTCATGTGATTTTGAAAGCTTATTTGGTTATCTTCACGTGTATCGTAGAAGGAGAGAGAAACGAATCTGCTGCAACCAAGCACGAGCCAAAGAACTTAAGAACACCAAACCACTAGCTTGCGAGGATGATTCAGCAGCCAGATAACGCTTACAGCGAAGGCCATGACCAGCGATATCAGGCTGAGAGAAGATACTACAAACAGTTTCCGCTCTTATTCCAGCAAATCCATGCATCGGCAAGCAGCGGCGGCGAGGGCGGCGCAAGAGCCATATACTGCTACGGGTGGCAGCGGTCGCCGCAGTCCTCGTAGATGATGTCGCGGCAGTAGCATTTGGGCGGGAACGACCTGGTGCAGTGGCAGTTCTTGCAGTTGGGGTGGCAGCCTCCGATCAACTCGTCGGTGCACCGGCACTGCGGCGGGAACGACCTCGTACAGAGGCACATGTCGCAGCACGCCCATGGCTTCTCTCCCGCTAATCCCTCTCCGTTTCCTGCACACATATATATAGAGACGTAGATCAACCAGTACACTGAGAGATCGGCTCCGAGTACGTACCTTGGCTGGGGAGGAGGAGGAGGAGGTGAGGGTCTACACGGGCAGTGGAGAGGCTGACAAGAAACACCAAGGCCAGGAAGGTCACCACAAGGCCGCCGCTCCTCATCTTCTACACCGACCACTTCGCACTCAGCTGTAAGCTAGTAATGGAGGATCGGAGATGAGGGATTTGGCCAGGCATCAGGCCATTTTATAGAGAACCTCTCACAGCATTTGGAGAAAAGGGCATGCATGCGTCAAACATGGTGGAGAAGGACGCCATCGGCTGGCCGCCACTAGACAAAATATACAGTGCACTTGGGAGTCCTAAAGACAAGAAAGCTTCTACTTTGATTTTTAGTGTGACAGACTTATAATATTCATGCTTGTCCGGGAAAATATTCTCCCCCAATTCTCTGTGCTATGAGAAAACAAGAATCTAAATAAGTTAATTTAGGTTATTTCGATCAGCTGATTAGCTTCGGCCTAACTCAAATTCAAAGATGAAATTTGTGTGTCGTGCACTATTTAAGACATCTCAAGATTGTTAGTCTCCTTTAGGAGATACGGCCCAGATAGACCGTTGAAGTATCATTCACTTGTTTATCATAATGATAATTTTAGTCGAGAAAGATTTTAATAATTTAATTTATCGTAAAGTGCAAATGATAATGATAAAAAATATTTTATAAAATATTCTAAAATTAATCTACTGTAAAAAAAATAATTAAGATTAATAATTATTTATTAAAATTATTTTATTCTTATTAATTATTGATTTGAGCGTCCACGTCGAGAACCTCATCTAACCTTAGTCTTTATATAAATCGATTACGAGTAAACATTTAATTTTTTTATCATATTAAATTTTAAATTAAAATAATCTAAATATTATAAATATCCATGTAATCAATTATAAAGATAAATTATTTAACAGTCTAAAGTTGTGGGGATCAAAAACATGTGAAGAGAAATTATTTAACAGCCTATTTTATTTAATTTTTTTTATGAACATGTAAGCCTTCTTATTGTAGTGTCAGAATGAAAGAACAAACCCCAACTATATTTCTCTCTCTTCTCTCTTAATATTTCCGTGTGTTTGCTTTATCCTCTTGCATTATATTAAAAATATATATTTATAAAATTGTTTAACCTCTGCATTGTTCAATCAATTCAGACATCAAGAAGTACTGCATAAAAAGAATTCAGATCAGTGTTGCCGTTTCCAAAGTCATGCGGTATTCCCGAGAACTATTTTCTTATGTTCAAACTCTCGAGTCTGCAGCGTCGTCCTTATCCAAATGCCAACTCCGACGAAGTAGGTCACGCACGTTCTCAGATGGAACGCGGTCGACAAACTCTTGTCGTCTTCGACCCGAGACCATTAAATCCAAGGAAGCTCCACGAGATCACGGCGGAGCAGCGTGAACAAATGTCGGGTAAAAGCATCTTTTTCTGGTTTTGCTGGTTGGAGGATATGATCTTAACGACGGACAAGGAACGATCATGGTGGACCGGAGGTGCTCCTTTAGAACCAGCAATTCAAAGATAAAATACAAAGCGTATGCATAAGATGGTTATTGTTAGTCATCGGAAGTCAGCACGGTTCGATCCGATCCCCATAAGGTTACCCATACGAAAACTCGGATAGTAAAAATATGCATTAGGTTAGGTTGAGCTATGAGTTTTGTACCATGCTTTTTCATCGTTAGCCCCTGCACACAGATTGAGGTTGGGAGGAAGATTTCCCAACTCGACCTCTCCGAAGTTTAAGTTAACCTTGAGTGGAATGAGAATGAGTTGATTGTGCGAAAAGTCGTCCCCCGATACTAGCCAGGTGATGGATTTTTATACCTACACTCAGGGGGTCGGTCGTACCTAGTTCGTTAATGACCGTCGACCCCTTAAGCGGTCGGCCCATATCTTCCGTGTGGACGTCGGTTGACTTGCACGGATCAACGCCTTGCGACGTTATCCCAAACTTTTCGAGGTAGCTTCGTACCCAACGGTATCGTCCCAAACTTTTCGCGAGCAACTCTATATCGTGCGATGCATCTTGTACGACTTTGTACGACGCGAGAGGATGATCGTATGAGTCCGAGGCGTCATGCTGACGTGGTTCGTTATATCAGCTTTAAAGCTCCACGTCAATGTTGTCGTGGCTACGGACTATTGCCAAAGGTTGTGCTACCAAATTATGTCCTATCACTTATGTTATGGATGGATTGAATAAAAATACTGAAATTCTATGGAGTCTTCGACACTATAATTTCTTATATTAGACATATTTCTAGTATCATACGATAATATTGGATTAGTCAAATTCAATTCGAATACATAAAATATCTTATGTGGTCACAGAAAAAACTTCAATACTCATTGGAAGGTTGAGAGAGACTCAAATGCTTATTTTAATCCTGACTTATATAAAAATTAAAATTAAACAGATTTTTTAATATGATTTTTTTAACACTCAAATTAGTGATAAAAATAAAAAAGAATAATTTTAATAAATAGTAATGGATCTCTGTCATAAGTGGTTTTTTTTATAATAAATTAATTAAATAAATATTTTATAGTATAGATGGAATGGTAAAATATATATAGCCGAAGTGGCATTGATTGTTCTCTCTCCCGAAACGAAGAACAACGCTGCCACCGAGCTCGGCACCGCATTCATGATCCCTCCGACACCTCCATGTGATGTTGTGAAGGCTCCACGCATCCACCCCTCCTTCGATGTCTCCTCCTGCTCACACCCCAAGTTTGCAGGACACTCATCCTCGTCCTCATCCTCATCGACTTTCAAATCCACAGTGACAGTATAGTTCTTAAAAGTCTAGCAGGAGGGACTCGACTCGTCCTGTTGTGGCCGTCTTGATGTTCAATGGTTACTGATAGCCTCCCTGCTGCCAAGAACACACTGCATTCTCTCTCAGCGATGTGGTATTTTGAGTATCTACTGTGAAGGAACAAGAGCCGCATGTAACACGTTAAAATCCAATCGATCGAGACGATCTAACCTACTCTGTGACTCAAAGAGAATGGGCACAGCAGGCAACTTTGACTACATCTTCAAGACCCGGACATGTTGGTGCTCGTGACAAGTCTATGAGCAAAAAGATCTCACGAGTCACGACGCCGACAAGACTTGTGAGGCTGACAGTTAAGAAGAGAGAATCTTGTGCACTGATATCTACAGCCACAAAAGCTGACTTTTTGTATTAGACCGCCCGATAAAGTAAGAAGAAACTCGACAATGGCCAGAGAGTAGGTCAGGGTGGGATATTAAAGAGTTCCTCCGACGAAGAGAAAGAGGATAAATAGATATTTAGATGCCATGAAAGAGATCACCCGCGTCACTGTCACCACGTTTAACACGTTCATGCCCTTCTCCCGAAAGCTGTGGCAGGTTCTTCTCCATAAAGAGGCTTGATGGCTGAGCAAATCACTCATCCCAGGCTTCATCTCTAATCCTCCATTACTAGCCACCAAGTTCTTGGTGTGGAAGATGAGGAGCGCTGGCCTTGTTGTGGCCTTCCTGGCCTTGGTGTTTCTTGTCAGCCTCTCCGCTGCCCGAGAGGACCCTGATATCTTCCTGCCAAGCCAAGGTACTTGAAGCAGATCTCTCAATGTTTCTTGTGGTGTACCGGCTGATCTATATCTCTATATGTACGCGCGCGTGTGTGTGTGTGTGCAGGAATCGGAGAGGAGGTAGGGGGAGAGAAGCCATGGGCGTGCTGCGACAGTTGCTCGTGCACGAAGTCGATCCCGCCGCAGTGCCGGTGCACCGACCAGTTGATCGGAGGTTGCGACCCCAACTGCAAGACCTGCATCTGCACAAGGTCGTACCCGCCCAAATGCCGCTGCTACGACATCATCAACGACTACTGCGGTGAGCGATGCAACCCGGAGCAGTAGCGCCCCCGACGGCCGCTCCCCGCAGCTTTCGTGCCGCCGCTGCATGCGTGATGCATGGATTTGCTGGAATAACAGAGGAGATTGTTCGTAGTATCTTCTCTGCACCTGATGTCGCTGGTATAACCTTCCGTGTGAGTGTTATCCGGCTGCTAAATAATTCACGCAAGGCAGCGGTTTGGTGTTCATTGGTGCTTTGTTTCTCCAACACCGATGTGTATGAAGAAAATTACCGAGACCTAACGAATGCTTAACCTATTCATTTTGATCAAACATACAGACAAATAAGCTTACACAATTATAAGAAAGGAAAATAACATACAAGATAGGGAGAACGTGGCTCGTCTCGTCTACATTAAATTTGATTTGACAGGGAAATATTTTATCTCTTGTCGTAGGTCAGATACGTAAGAGACGGAGAGGACATGTTCATCTCATCTATATTAAATTTTATTTAATGGGAAAATATTTATCTCTTATAGTAGGTTAGATACGTGATTGCTCCCTCACGACACATTCGTTAGAGAGAACATGGCTCATGACAAAATAAAAAAATATTATTAAAAAATATTTTAGCAAAATAATCTTATAAAATGTAAAGAGGAAATTAACTTTTTATATTAGAGAATTTTTTTACAATACTTTTTTTAATGATCTCATAAGCTTTTAGAGAATTTTTATTTTTATTAATTTTTATTTTTAAAATTAATTAACTAACCATATAAGATAATTTAAAAATAAAAATAAAAGTAATAAGTAGGTAAGTTTACAAATTTATTTAGTGTTTTTCTTAAAATTAACTTTATCAATTTTTTAAAAGTCTTATTTTTCTTTTTCTATATTAATCCACCCTATTTGAGAAAAACTCGTTATCGAGTTTATGTCTGATATAATAAATTCCCATTTGAAAAGTAATAATACAACTATACAACAATAAAGATCTTTGAGATCTTCTGATGATCTAATAAATCAATCGTATAAGTATTGTTATTGATTTTCTTTAAAATATTATAGGGATCATATTTCTTCGGCTTGAATTTGTTGTGACTATAGAAAATCTCTATTTTCTTTAAGACATTATAGGGATCATATTTCTCCGGTGCTTATCAATTGCTTCCTTGTACTTGTATTAATAGCTTCAAACTTCTTCTTCACTTTAGTTTAGATTGATTGTTTTTGTTTAGTTATATTGTTAGCATGCTACACTTATTCCATAAATTTTTGGTAGGCAAACTAAATCTAGAGTATACTTTGACACTTTTGTATAAATAATAAAAAATGGTGACACTTTGATAAAATTATAAATCGCGTTGTTATAAGCAAATTCAACTTTTGTGAGTACAAAATCTCATTATCTTGGTTTATCAACACAAATGTAACGAATCGAGTTTCCAAAAATTATATTAGTTGCCTCCATCTAATCATCAATTTGTGCATGAGCTATGCTGCTAAACTCCAAACTTGCGTTAAATATTTTCCACAATGCCAACAAAAAAATGAGATAGGAATTTAGAATCTCTATCAGAAATGATTGATTTTGGTACCCCATATAGGTGTACAAATTCTTGTAAGAATAGCTTACAACATGATATGAAATTAGCCATCTTGGATAATTGATCCACATCACAAACATAAAATTAATTCCCTTCTAAGTTCTTAGTAATTCTAATATAAAATCCATTGATAAATCCTCCTAAATGCCTTTTGGAATTAGTAACGGCATATATAAATTAGTGTTTTGCGATTAGCCTTTTGTAGTTTGAGAAGCCAAATATTTTCTTACAAAATTACCTACGTCCTTTTTTAATTGTGGCCAAAAGTATCTCTCCTCAACACTTGTTATTATTTTTTCTCGCTCGAAATGTTTGTTGAATCATTCTCTATGTAAACCTCGAATAATCTTTTCTCGTAAGGACATCCTCGGAATACATAACTTATTATCTTTGAATAAGTAACCATCATGGATATGAAAATCATCTATAAATTATCTTATCAAATTCTTCTCTCAAAAGAAGTCCTTATTTTCAGCATACAAATCCTTCAAGCATTCAAACCTTATAACTTTATTACTTGGATAAACTAGTAAAGTTGTTATTCAAATCAAAGCATCAGCAACACGATTGGAAGTACTAAACTTGTGTTTGATTACTTAGATAAATTGCTTTATGTAGGAAGCCCATCTTACATGCATCTTATTATGGTTCTTGAAATGGAAGGCTTCATGGTCTAAATATATTGCAAACTCACGCGTAATCAAGTAACATATTTAATTCCGTAAAACTTGTATCACTTACAACTCTTGTTCATAAGTAGACCACTTTTGGCGTGCTTCACTTAACTTATTACTGAAAAATACAAATGGTCTTTCTTCTTTTAAAAGTATTACTCCAATCTCAATTCCGCCGCCGCTGCTTTGTAGTGTCTTTTCTCGACCTGATATCGCTGATTGCAACTTTCTCTGCATGTGTGATCTGACTACCGAATAATTCATGCAAGGCATTGTTTTGGCGTTCTGAGTTGCTTTGTCTCGTGCATAGTTACAGTGAAATCGTTCTTCTTTTGCTTCTCCTTCTACGATATATGAGAATAATGATGCAAGTTGATAGTTACAGAATTATAGGAAATGAAAATAATGACTCATCACACGAAAGATAAGAGGCAAGAACAACATGAGCATGCTCCTCTCCTCGCCGAGGGATCTCCATCGGATCACTTCTCCTAAACCAAGGTTTCTTACATGCATAAGATATTGATAGGAAATACATAATCAACCAATTATCATCTATCACGTCAATATCACATAAGTTCTCCGGAAAAAAAAAAGCCCAAATAACTCGATGCCCACATGTCGTTGCTAAACATTCAAAATATAGCTCAGGTCAATTATTGAGTTATCTCCCATACGAAATATTCGTAGGAGTCTAAGAGGTAACTCGGGTCAGTTACTAATTACCTCCCTTGCGAAATATTCATAAAAATATTTTTAGAAATCAAAGAGGTAGCTTAAGTTGGTTACGAATTGTTTCCCCTATAGAACCTTTATGGGATATTCCTTCTCTTCGAGGTCAGCATAAAAGCACACCCTTAGCTATAAATTAGGAAGGAAAAAAAAAGAATGAGAAGTACATCTCAAAACTAATTTGAGTATCGGAGAGATAGACTCAAAAGCCTATCTCAATTTCAATCTTTGTATAAGTGATATATCGAGAGGAGATGCTTTATACTTTGGACGATCTCGTGCATATAGAATAGGGCCACATTGTGCTGATCAGAATGTTAATAATATTTTTCATAATATTTTTCATATATATAT